GCGCTCATATGACCTTATGCAGTTTCGAGCGCCGTACAACCTTACTAAACAAAAAAACCCACTAAAGGCTAATCACTGTCAGTATCACATCCTTAAACTTAAACTTTAAAAAAATATATTGCTGACAACTGCAAAGACGTACAATTGTGAGAATCCTTCTATATATTATATATTGGTGAGACGTTACAAAACACTTTGTATGAAACTGCTTGAAGAAAGCTAATAGGTAAGACACTCACGTGGCGCACCCATACACATACACACACAAACGCACAAACACTTAAACTTACACACACAGACTCACACACACAGGCACACACACACACTCTCTCTCTCTCTCTCTCTCTCTCTCTTCCTCTCTCTCAGTGTGTGTGTATTTGTGCATGCATCCATCTTTGTGCGTGTGTGCATGCATATGTTTTCCCCACCCAACAAGTTCCACTCTCCTCCTCCTTCCACAGGTCCCATTTGACAGTGTGGGAAAGTCCATTGTCAAGACATCTGTCATGATGATTGGAGAGTTTGAGTTCGATTCCATCTTCAATGAAGCAAGTGTCGCTGTAAATTATGCTGCCGCCTCCTACATCATCTTTATCATCTTCCTCATCATCATGAGCATTCTCATCATGAACTTGCTGGTGAGTAGCCCTGTGCCTTGTAAAGTGTATACTTGGAGTATTTGTATATAATGTCTACATGTCTGAAGAAGGAAGAAAGAAGAAAGTCTTGTCATGCTCAGTCAGAAATTAAAAGTATGCTTGAAATGTTCTTCTTGTGGCTGGCTGAAATGTGAAGAGCTCTATAAAAGGGAAGTGTTAAATGTCCTCGTTTTCACGCATCGTGAAGATCCTAGCCTCTGGGTTTTTTAATTCTTATCCTTGCAAGACTTAGCAGCATCCCCACTGTGACACCCCTCCATGGTCACAGCAGATGTTACCCCCTAGGTCAGGCAGTTGGAAATGCTTTATAAACTTGGGAGTAATGGAAAGCCTCGTTGATCAGGATCTTACAACCACATTTTTTTTATGGAGGCGTGTTGTTTTGATGAATTAGTTCATTGTCCAGTTGTCAATACCAATCTTCATGTCTTTTTTTAGTATGTTTTTCTGATGAAAGTCATTTTAAAAATGATTGTGGTGTGGTTTGCTCCTTCAGTCCTGTCAAACTTCTATTGTCCTTTTCTCTCCCCTTCCTGCTCTTTGTGTATTACTCTCTAATCTTTGGCCCTTACATGACTTGTTGTGTTGCAAGTACGGTAAAACCCATACACTAAAACTTTAAAAAAAATTCTTGGTACCTATGCTAGGCCGTTCTGGCTGTCGCCATTTTTAATGGAGACTTCAATTTTTTGTTTGATTATCAATTCTGATTTTAAAATATTTCTTATTTATGAGGGGGTATTTTTTGGTCAGCACTTTTCTGGTGAAAGTCAAAAAAAATAAATGTTACTGTGCCTGTCCCCTTGTGCTAGGTCGGTCTGGATGTCATTTGTTTTATTTAGAAGAGTCATTAAAAAAAAAATAATTATAATACCAATCTTCACAAATGTCTCATATTCTTAAGGTTGTTTTTTTTTGTTTTTGAGGGGAGGGGTATATTTTTCGGAATAAAGTCATTGAAAAAACGGCCTCTATGTGCCTGTCTCTCTGCGCTAGGTCGGTCTGGATGTCATTGTTTCTATAGAAAGTCAATTTTTTTGTTTTATCATCCTACCGATCGTAAAAAATGTCTCATGTTGTCATTTTTTGGGGGGGATTTTTTTGCGGATGAAAGTCATTGTAAACATGGTCTTTGCGTGCCTGTCTGTCTGCACTAGGTCGGTCTGGCTGTCGACGACATCAAGGCTGTACAGGAGCAGGCCGCCCTCAAGAGGATGGCTATGCAGGTGGAGCTCGCCCTGGATGTGGAGCGGATCATCCCGGATTTTATCCGGAGAAAGGCCTTCACCCGCCGATCCACTATCCGACCCAACAGACTCTTCAGCAATCCCGTGCGGAGATTGTTGAGCAACTCTTACCTCAGCCCTCAGGCCCTGCAGAAGGCTTTGAATCCTGAATTGGTACGTTTTACTCTCTGGCTGTCTTTGTGTTGTTAATTGTTTTGTTTATTGTTGTTGTTATTCACCTTTCATGCCCTGACCTCCTGAGTGGGTGGTGGGCAGATGCTCTGGCGTGGTTTGCTCCTTCTTTCCTGTAGAAAACTACCGTCCTTGTCTCCCCTTCTTCTTTTTTATGTTTGTTACTCTCTTGTAACACCTCTAATCTTCTGGCGCTCATATGACCTTATGCTGTTACGAGTGCCGTAAAACACTTACTAAAACTAAAACTGACCTCCTGAGGCTACCATGACCCCTCTGACTGACCTCCTGATTATATTTGATGAAGTCTCTCGTACTCTCAACTGCAAGGTGGGTTCCAATCCCGTCAGGGGCCCAACACTGTGTCCTTTGGAAAGGCACTTTACATAAATTTTCCTCGCTTCACCCAAGTGGGAATGAAGTTATAGGTGGTGACCCCCCCCCCCCTCCCCCCTTCCGCGGGCAGTGCTACTGACTGAAGTGTCTTTAGGCCATTCCCAATTGGGGGATATTAGCATGTTATTATGCACAGTAGAATTGTAAATGGGCCGATTTATCAATGTTTTGCTCATACTGTTCCTGAACAACATAGGGGGAACTTCTGCTTTTTCTTTCTTCGTCTTTACTATCATTATTTGCCCTCTACTTCTGTGGGGTGTTGGCAGGTGCTCTGGTGTGGTTTACTTCTTCTTTCCTATCAAACGTCTATCATCCTTATATATAAATCTCCACTTCTTCTTTTTTATGTTTGTTTCTTTCTTGTAACACCTCTAATCTTCTGGCGCGCATATGACCGTGTGCAGTTGCGAGCGCTGTAAAACCTCTACTAAAACTAAAAAACCTCTACTTCTATTGTATGTTTGTCACTCTCTTGTAAACTATTTCCGGGGTGCCTTGATAGTCTTAGTAACTTTGTGCTGTTGAGGCAAGAGAGGTGAGCGGAGTAAGTTTGATTCCCAGTTTGGACTTCTCTGTTGACATCCACCCCTTGGCGCTCATATGACCTTTTGCAGGTGCAAGCGCCGTAATACCTTACTAAAACTAAAAAATAGATGGCGAAAGATCTTGTTAGTTTGTTAGTGTTTGAGTGCGTGTAATCAGCGGCTTACACTGTTGGTGCTTCCCTAGACGATGAAAATGTTTTTGAGTGTTCTAGAGTCTTCTGGTGCGATAAGAGTTGTAGTTGTGGGTGGTTGGCGGGTGCTCTGGTGTGGTTTGCTTCTTCTTTCCTATCAAACATCTATCGTCCTGATCTCCCCTTCATCTTTTTTATGTTTGTTACTCTCTTGTACACACACGCACACACGGGATTGGATGGACTTACAAACTTGTTATTACTGTAAAAATAGTTGAAAGACGCATAGAACTTGCTGCCCTGCGTTAATTTGCACTATGTAAATGCAGTTATTATTATTATGATTATTAGTATTATTATTGTTGTTATTATTGCTATTATTATTATTTTGTTATTATTATTATTTTGTTATCATAAGTAATTATACCGTGATTATCACTATTATCAACATAGCTGTTAGTTGTTATTATTGCCACTATTGTTGTTGTTTTTTAAAGGTCATCCTAACAGCTGCTTTTCCACATTTTTCATTTTAAAAACAAACATGTTAAGAGCTCTTTATTTAAAAACAGCTTAGACATGGCACAGCTGTCTGGATTTTCAAAATGAATCAATTCTTAAATTGATCCAATCTTTTTTTAAGTTGACAATGTCATTCATTGTCCAGTTTTGAAAATGAAAAATATGCAACAACAAAACAAAAAAAAATGAACAGCGTTAGATCAAAATAAATACCCCCGCCCACCACTCTCCTGAAAAAAAAAAAACCGCAGCTTTTGTCTTCCGTCTAGTTAAATGAACTAATAATCCAGTAATGCTGCAAACCGCAAATTATGTTTTCAAAGGATTATCTGAAAAAGGGGTGGGGG